ACTCACACACACACACACACACACACACACCACCACCACCACCGCCATCATCATCATCACCTCAATTCTCTGTGATGCTATGCAGCCGCCAGCGCCCCAGACACCACCGCGCCATCAGCGCCATCACCAGCAACAGCAACAGCAACAGCAACAGCAGCAGATGCGGCGATCCATTTCGCAGCCGGACCAAATCATCCTGTCGCCAGCGGGCAGCCCTGCACGCAGCCACCACCACAGCTACAGCCACCACCAACAACAGCAGCAGCCACGCTTTTCGCGGTCGTCGAGCACGCACGGCAGCAACTCACACATGTCTGCAAGCATGGGCGCGGCCAAGCTCCCGCCGTAAGCAGTGTGAAGGGGGGCGATGGATGAAAGGGTCATGATGAAGGGGGAGGGGAAGATGATGAGGAGGAAGAATTAGTGGAGGTGGAGTAAGGTGGACACTGTCGCGAGGACACCACCGTGCCGTGTGTTGGTTCTACTGCGCCGTGCTGTTAATTTGATCTGCTAACTGCTCACCAATGTTCTCGTTTGATACACCACACCCCGCCACATCACGTTGCAATCCAGGATTCGGCACGACAGCGTTTCAAAGTCGACCGACGTCGCAGCTATCACCCGCACATCCGCAGGTGCACGCACACCCGCAGATTCCCGTGCACTCCACCTGTCGCTCTTGAGTGCACTCCAACTCTCGTGTGTGCGTGTGTGCGTGTGTGCGTGTGTGCGTGTGTGCGTGTGACTGTTAGCTGCACGTGCGCCCTCTTGCCTTCAAGCATCTGACATGTCATCACGTGTTTGTGTGTTTGTGTGTTTGTGTGTGTGTGTGTGCCTGCTGAACCAGATGGGCGAGGTCGAACGCTGAGCGACGGTGACACGCCGAGCCTTCGCCGCCCGCTCTCCTTTACCCATCGATCCCACCAGCACAATCAGCAGCAGCAGCAGAGCGTTCAACAGGCACAACAGCACCAGTCACATCACCATCTGCCACCACAACAGCAGCGCCAGGCATCGACAGAGCTGCAGCCTTTGGACGAGACTGCACGAGAGCGATCGTATTCACTGCCGCGAACGTCGCGCCCGTCATCACACCACCACACACGCGCGCGGGCGGCCAAGCAAAGCAGCGGTGGCGGTGACGGCGGTGGTGATGCTGCTGCGGCGACGGAGAGTGCTCATGTACGTGATTCTGGGGGTGCTGATGGTAGCGGTGAACAGCAACAGATACAGCAGGAACAGCAAAGGCGACAGCAAGGTGGGCAGAAGTCTGAGCGAGATGACAAGGGTTCAAACCAAGACAAGAAGAAGAAACAGCAGCCGCAGTCCTCGTCGTCCGTACGGGCCAAGGGGAAGAAGACAGCACGCGGCGCAAAGTCGACACGAAAGGGGAAGGGTGCTCACGCAGGGGCAGCGGCACCACGGAAACGGGCGAAAAAGAAAGGAAGAAATGGAAAGTTAACGGCAGCGTCAAATTCGCTCGCCACCACCACCACCACCACCACCAGCAGCAAAGGACCCAAGGCAGCATCAACGCTGGCAGCAACGGAGAAACGGCGGGTGCGTCTTGTACCTTCTGTGCGTGCGTATGATCGTGCGCGCGCGCGTGTGTGTGATTGTATGTATGTGTGTGTGTGTATGTGTGTGTATGTGTGTGTGTGTGATTGTATGTATGTGTGTGCATGTGTATGTGTATGTGTGTGTGTATGTGTTTCTCCAATCGGGTGTTTCCATGACAGTGCCACTCGCGTTCTTTTGTATTCCCTCTGTGCCACCACCCTTACGTCTATCTAATCCACTCCACACGTGCTGCGTGTCAGCCCCGTGTGCGTGCGCGCACCGGACCACGGCGCGTGTACAAGCGGTGCACAGCACCAACGCCGCACAGGGCATCACGCGATGGCGAGGGGGAGGGCCTGAGGCTTCGGGAAGCAGCCGCGCAGCACACAGCGCTTGCACGTGATGACGATGCCAGCGGTGATGATGATGATGGTGATGGTGGTGGCAATAATGATGGCTTGGATGCGACGGTGGGCACGGCGGCTGGAGAGGGAGCAAAGGCGAAGAGGGGCAGTGAGATTGATGACGACGAGCGACAGCAGCTGGAAACCATGTACCTGGAGGAAGGGTTTGATGTGGCATCAAGTGACGATGATGATGGTGATGGTGATGATGGTGATGATGATGATGAGGGTGATGGCGATGATACGGTCGAGGAAGATGAAGGTGAGGGTGAGAATGATGACGAACTGACGTGGAATGATGTTGGAGGAGGACAGCAGTCGCCTTTGCCACACGTCAATGTGCGACGCGACGGCGTAGGTGTTGTGAGTCCACGTGACAGGCAGGACAGCAGCAAAAACACGAGCCATCTCTCGTCCGATATCGATGCAGATAGTCTCGATGGCCGACACGATGACACTCTCCGAGGCATCATGTGAGATGGATTGTGTGGCTGTGTGCTCTGTGTGTGTGTGTGTGCTTTGTGTTTGTGCTTTGTGGGTGTGAGTGAGTGTGTGTGCTTTGTGAGTGTGCTTTGTGTTTGTGGTAAGTGCACCGGCTTGTACATAACCTCTGCATGCATTGTGATGTGATCGGCGCGTGTCTCCTGTCAGGCACTTTGCTGACTGGCACGACGACGACGACGAAGAAGAAGATGATGGTGGTGGTGATGACGACGATGACGCTTGGGGTGATGATGGCCGTTTCCATGATGATCGCGATGAAGAAGCGCAAAGGTGAGCACATGCCGCTACGTCGTTGCTCGAACGCACTGCGACACGCTGAAATACACACACACGTATGTACCAAGCGCAATCTCAACTCGTGCGCGCAATGCTCCACACCTGTGCACAGCCTGGCATCCACGTTTGCCAAGGAGGAAGACCTGCTGCACTTTGAGGACAGTCGTCACCGTCCACACCACCATCGCGACGATGAGGAGGAGGAGGAGGAGGAGGAGTATGATCTCATCGAGGCCATGTCTCTTGCTCGCATTGCCCTCGAATCACGAGGTGAGACACAAACGCAAGAGCGGCCAGAGAAACTGACCGTGCTGCGGTTTTGGCTGGAAGCGTTTGGTTCGAGTGCGTGTTCACGTGTATGTGGATGAAACCCCCTTTTGCCTGTGTGTTGCGCGCTTGTGTATGTGTGTCTATCCGCTTGTGGAGTTGGCCAAAGTGTTTGCGCTGTTGTGAATCGAAATGGATCGATGTGCGTGGCGTGTGTTTTTCTCGCCTCTCACTGCTACCCCCTCGTGCACTGCACAATTCTCAGCCGAAGACTATGAGGATGAAGAGATTCTCGAAGACGAACGCATCGCTGCGCCGTGGAAGAGTGTTCTCATCAGGTGACGTAGTGTGTGTGTGTGTGTGTGTGTGTGTGTGTGTGCGTGTGTGTGTGTGTGCTGTTGCTGTTGCTGTGTGCACATTGCTGGGTTTTAGCGGTACCATTGTTTTTTGACCACACTGTTGAAGCTCATTCACTGTTCAACTGTTGATGGTTCAGGGATTGCACTGCTGTTCTTGGGCAGGATGTCTTCAACAGTGTTCTCACATACTATCAGGAACTGCGGTCCACACATCCATGGTGTGTGTGTGTGTATGTGCTGTGCGTATGTGTGCTGTATGTGTGGTTGAATTTTTTATCTTAGCCTCAGCATACATCGTAATCACTCACACACACTCTCTCTCTCACACAATTGCACATTTACCCATGCACGCACATGCGCTCGCGCGCGCGCACACACACACACACACATACACCATGACACACTTTCACCCATGTACGCACATGCGCTCGCACACATCTCCACACGTGACAGGCTGTTTGAGAGGCCGTCCAGTGCGAGCGAGCTGACGACTGCGCCGGAGTTGGACGAGGAAGGGCGGGCGCTGCTGTTGTCAGCGGAACCTGTTCGGAGTCTCATTGGTGGCGACGATGACCCTCACCGCATTGCTGCGTGTCTGTCCATCCGAGAGCTGATTGTGTTTGACTCCTCGCTCGCCACCCCTGCCCAGGGATCCCGCATCGCTTCCGCCATATCATAGACCTTTTGTTGCGTGTGTGTGTGTGTGTGTGTGTGTGTGTGTGTGTGTGTGTGTGTGTGCGCGCGCG